CTCCTGTCTTTTAATCTAATGTGCGCTGCGTTCGCAGATTGAGGATAGAACAGAAAATAATGAATGCAAATCAATGTTCAATATGTTTCTCACCTAAAGCTAATCCGTCATATTTCTTTTTTTATTAATCATTTTCAAGGCAAACAGCTAAACTGTGCACATTTATTGACGCACAGTAATTATCATCCATCTGTAAACATCACTAATCCAATGATGCTGCATTTTCACCCTTTGCATTCTTTGCTATTTAGAGAGGTCAGAAATCAGTTCACGTGTTTATTCAGCTTGTATTTTTTCTAATCTGTGAAGCTCTGTGAAGTTATAAACGCCCCGGGCTATACTCTTGTTTTCACTGTCAGCCATATCCAAAACGGCAATTTCTTCCTGAAATAACAGCTAAAGGTTTCCTTAATCATGCCAGCAAGAAAGGAGCAGAGAGCAAGCCCCAAATCTCTAAAAAAAAAAAAAAAAAAAACCTGCTAGAGAAATGACGAAAATATTCTTTATATTCTTAAATACCAGAGTAAGGAGTGCAGTCTTCTCCTGTAATGATCATAATAATAATAACTTTTACTTACTGATTTTTTTTACATGCAAACACAAAATTAAAACCATACATACAGACTAAATAGCCTGTCTTCCCCAAATTAATAAGTAATGATAATTAAAATTCATAATACAGTCTTATTAAGATGGCTACAAACCTATTTGTTTGCAAAGCAAGCAGGAAAACGGACCCGTGATAATAAAAATGCAAATTTGAATCACTTTTATTAGGATTATGCTTTTTTTCACTTTAGAAAGAAGAAAATTTGAATACAGCGTATGCAGATTTAATGCATGCTAAAATATTGCATAAAGGGCTAAAATAATACACAGGAATTGATTTTAACACCAAACGTACGGATAAGAGGAGCAGATAAGGCTAAATAGGGATGTGCGTGTGTTGCAGTCATATGTGAAAAGGTGAGTTCTGGCCTGAATACCTGAAATCACTTTAGGTAGCTATCTAAAATGATCTAAAAAGCTCTTCATTGTTGCATTTAATGATTTATAGCTTCTAAGAGCCTATTTATTACAGAGATAATGCTATTTCTGTGTCCCTATTATTATTATTATTATTATTATTATTATTATTATTATTATTATTATTATTAAAACTTGTATAAAAAAAAAATGACTAAAGTGCTGTGATCATATAAAAGCCTAAAAGTGTAGGTATGAAAGAAAATAAAAGGAAGATGCCAAACATATAAAACAATGATAAAAGATATATATAAATATATATATATATATATATATATATATATATATATATATATATATATATATATATATATATATATATAACACACCCACAGATGCTTAAGAAAAAGAAACATTTTTGCTAGCTAAAATGATATAAAGTGGAGAAAATGTTGGAATTTTCATATATAAATGATAAATTAAACAGAAAGAATAAAAGTTAAAGAGGTGTAATGAGCGGTAATAAGTTACATTATAAACACCAATTTTCTGTACATTCATGGTTAAATGATCTGTACGGTACAGGCAGTGTTGTGTTGATGTGTTTTGTGTGTGTGTGTGTGTGTGTGTGTGTGTGTGTGTGTGTGTGTGTGTGTGTGCGGTTAAATGCAACAGTATGCTCTGACGGGTCTCGCAGGAGGGATGTGGGAAGGTTGCTCATTTCTGAGAGTTATGGCCTGGGGAAAGAAACTGTTCAGGTGACGGCATATTTAATCAACGCTCGTCTTGCATCATGTTATGATGTAATTATCCGCAAGCTGTTCATTATTGCATCTGATGATTGACAGATCGCGAGCCATTATTTATCTCATCGGTTGAACCGATGCGGTTTGGACTATTGGATTTGTATCCGTGCTCGGAGAGGTTGAGTAATTATGAATGAGTGGTTATAACATTAATGCTGCTGAACCCGAGGCTGCTATCCTTTGTGGAGAGTAAATAAAAGAAAAAGTGTGGATTGTTTGGAATTACCCATGGCTTCGTCTCTAGATCTACATCCTCCCATAAATGAATACAAATACTCCACATTTACATACCTTCACCTCAGGCACCTCTGAGTGAACACACACTCGCTTGCCATCCTTCCCTTCTCCTCTCCAGAGCAGTGTTTAATCATGAGGATTGCTTTCTCTTTCCAAGTCTCAACTGCAAGTCTTCCCTGCCAGGTCGGGGTAATTGTCACCTCCGGAGCAGTTTGCAGGTGTCTGTTTACAGTTTATCATCTGCATAATCTAACACCTCCGCTAAATGAGCTCTGTCATCCAGGGGAAGTTTGTAGTGCGCAGGTGAAGGTGGCTGACAGCTCAGGATTGGGGCGCGTACACCACCGTCAATTAAAAGCTTTATGTCACAGAACGCCAGACTGTAGATTTAGTTCAGAGAGTGAAAATTCAATATTCTTTCTCATTGAGTCTCTTACGTATCCTTCTTCCTATTTTCTCCACCATTTAGGCCACGTTCTATTTGGCTTTTCTCAGCACAGCTCATCTGACTACCCTATACATGGTTCTCGATCTCACTCTCTCTTTCTGTCACGCTCTCTTTCTCTCTCTGGCTCTGTTCCTACTTCGACAGCGGCTCTCATTTGTTCCTGGGTGATTAGGGTGTTCCCTGGCAGCCTTTTAACTGGCACTCATGTGAGAAATTTGGATAAAATCCCTTAAGGCAAATTTACAAACATGCCCGTAACGCTGACAAATGCATTTTATTCCTAATGGCAAAGAAAAAAAAATGTGCAGTATTGTCAGAAAACAATGATTGAGTAAAATAATAGTAATAATGAGTAAAAACAATACCTACGTATTAAATTATGGAATTATCAGGCTGTATGAACCAATTAAGAAAGGTTTCCTAATTATATAAGTTAGTATGTCTTTGGGTAAACTAAATATATTAAGTAAGGTATAAAACTGTTTGTCTGTGTCATGCTGTTATTGGAAAATAATCAGCGATGTGGTGGCGTGATGAAGCGGAGTTACTGTTACCACCCTGAAGTGTTTTATTTCCCTATAACAGCCTGGAGGGTTTTCTTCCTTTTGTACCACAGGAATGTGCTAACTATAAACAATTCTTAATTAAATAATGACTTGCCTTACTTTTTATCCATTTATAGTTACATTTAATAGTGAGTCACATCCATAAAACAATTCAGTTCAATTTTATTTGTATAGCGCTTTTTACAATGGACATTGTCACAAACTAGCTTAAGAGAAATCTATAAATTCTGGATATAAATTTTAAAATTTATAAAAACAAATCCTGTAATACCTGTGACACATAAAATATAAATGCAACTATAATGTACGAAGAAAAATTGAAGCCAATTGTCCCTGTGTAGGAACTCTTAAAGGTTTCATGTAGAACCCTACAACAGTGTGGAAAATTGAAACCTAAGATTAATTATCTAATGAACCCTTTAACAACCCTTAAATGACCCTTTTTTCTAAGAGTGGATGTATTAACTGGGTTAATGTGTGGTACAAATTATAGAAATTAAAGAATCTGTCTTGGTACTTGGTACATTCTTATAAAAAGGAGTTCTTTGTATAGCTCAGGGTTCTTCGCTTCCTAAAGGTGTTCTAGTTTAAAAACTCTTTGTGATAGGGAAGCACTCTGTTGTACTTCTGTGCTCGACTTATCTCCAAATTGTGAAATCAGGACACAGAATTACATAATGTTTGACCTCCGTGTGTTTGAGCTGCAAAGTGAGACAAAAATATGGACGCCTCAGGGTTTGTCTTTTGTTAAGAACAAGAGATATATATTTTCGTCCTCAGAATAATGAACTGCACAGTCAGTGTTACAGACATATTTGCTTGTTAAATCTATATGTTGAATGATCTAAAGCAAATACTTGTACATACATTATAACTCATCTAAAAATAAAGAAGTGCTGCTTTGTTTACTGTTCATGCTGTGAGGCAGCCATTTTGATTTGACGTCACTTTTTGGATTCAGGGTTGGGTATAAATTCCTGACTTTCCGAGTAGAAATTCTGAGCTGATGGAGTGTTTTCTTTTGTTTTCCCTAGTCGGAGGTCGAACTTTTCAGGCTCCCCCAGTGGGACAACCAAAGAGCCCTTACCTACTGATGATGTTATGCACTGTTAGAGATGGATTACAGTAGCACATCATATTTTAAATAATATTTTCCATCATGTAAGTACATAAATATACAATTAATCAACTGAGAGGCTTTTCTGTTACAGTGGTGGAAATCATAACTTGAATGGGTTTAATCCAAACCCCAACAACTCCAAAATATGTAGGTTAATAAATAACATCAGCATGGAGCTAATGCCTTCAGTGAATGGAAAATTTTATGAGTAAAAAAATATTGTACACATTTGAATAATGATTCAAATATTTGAGTAGTTGGATTATGTGCATTAGATGAATCTGTGCTGATCATGGAATTTATTTTACAGTTAAAGGGTTCCCTTGCTGCAAAAATTTTGAGAACCTTTGCCTTAACATGTGCACACCTGATATCAAGCCATTGGTAATAAATAATTTGCAATATGTTGTACAGACTAACACAGTAAAGGAAAAATGCTATCCAACGTTCTGGATTCGGCTGTTTGTTAACCAGGTCAAAGGTGTGCCTGTGCATCCCACTATTTATCCAGCAGAGTAACATCTCTCATAATACCTGAAGCATAGAGAGCCGTGATCATGAAGTGGTTAGTATTCTGCATCGTAGTTGCAGCAGCGCTGGTCAAAATGTGGGTCACAGCATGGCTTTTCCACATCCCTCTTGTGGTCCCATATGGTCTAGCAGTTAGGATTCCTGGTTTTCACCCAAGCAGCCCTGCTTCGACTCCTGATATGGGAACTTGTCTTTATTGTATCACCCAAGTTTAAATTGGCATCGCCGTTCCTAAAAATCAGTGCTTGTCTGAGTTCTATGTACCAGGATTCAGCCAGCAGCTGCTTTGTCAGAGTGAGCTACTTGGGTCACCAGGTGTATGGTGAGCCGTGATTGTATAGTGGTTAGTACTCTGCATGGTGGCTGCAGCAATCCTGTTTTGAATCCAAGTCATGGCATGCTTTTGCCACATCCCACATTCTTCAGTGGGAAAATGAAATAAGGTATGACCTTGATATTCATTGGGCCAGTGGTATGTCTGACTATACTGTAGGTCAGAAGAGTCTAGGTTTGCTTCCTGGCTGGCCCAACTCTCTTTAACTCCATCCAACATTCTGGATAATGCCACTTGTTGACTGCCACAGAGCGCAAACTAGAGTCCACCCAACTCATAAATTTCCCCCTACTCACCTGAAAAGTCCTGGATTACCAATTGACACAAATCTTCATAGGCAGGCATGTCCTCTGTGTTCCCATATGGTCTAGCGGCTAGCATTCTTGGTTTTCACCCAAGTGGCCCTGCTTTGACTCCCGGAATGGGAACTTGTGTTTATTGAATCACCCAAGCTGAAATTAGCATTGCCTCTCATAAAATTAATGCATGACTGAGGGCTATGTCCCAGGTTTCAGCCAGCGGCTGTTTTGTCAGCATGAGGTATTCCAGTGGCCAGGTGGTAAGCCGTGATCGTATAGTGGTTAGTACTCTGCGTTGTGGCCGCAGCAACCCCGGTTCGAATCCGGGTCACGGCATAGTTTTTGACATATATTGGACCAGTGGTACAATAGATGTCTCCAATGTCTAATTATACTGTAGGTCAGAAGAGTCTAGGTTTGCCTCCTGCCACAACTCTCCTTTAACCCATCCAATGTTTTGGATAATGCATTGTCTTCCACAGAGCTCAAACTAGAGTCCACCCAAATCATCTAACAAGACCTGTACTCCCATATGGTCTAGCGGCTAGCTTTCCTGGCTTTCACCCAAGTGGCCCTGCTTTGACTCCTGGAATGGGAACTTGTTTTTATTGAATCACCCAAGCTGAAATTAGCATTGCCTTTCCTAAAATTAATGCATGATTGAATTCTATGTCCCAGGTTTCAGCCAGCGGCTGCTTTATAAGAGTGAGGTATCCTAGTGGCCAGGTGTATGGTGAGCCGTGATCGTATAGTGGTTAGTACTCTGTGTTGTGGCCGCAGCAACCCCGGTTCGAATCCGGGTCATGGCATAGCTTTTGACATACACTATATTACCAAAAGTATTCGGTCACCTGCCTTGACTCACATATGAACTTAAGTGCCATCCCATTCCTAACCCATAGAGTTCAATATGATGTCGGTCCACCTTTTGCAGCTATTACAGCTTCAACTCTTCTGGGAAGGCTGTCCACAAGGTTGAGGAGTGTGTTTATAGGAATTTTTGACCATTCTTCCAAAAG